AAAAAAAAAAAAAAAAAAAAAAAAAAAAAAAAAAAAAAAAAAAAAAAAAACCCCTAAATTTAACTTGTCCACTTATTGCAACTATCAAACATCCTTAAAATCCAAAATTGACTGAACGAAATAAATAAAATACCAATATATGATGTGGTATCGAATGACCAGTGTTTTCCAACCGTGCATTTACGAACAAAAACAAAGCAGCGAATGAAAGTGCGGTTAATAAATGGAAAAATAAATTCCGAATGTTCACACAACATTATGCTTTGAGCCGTGCAAAAGTCGATTAATCTGCTCAAGGCTCAAATGCGCCTTTTCACGAGCATTTACATTCATAAATATTCGGAGGGGCATGACTCGGCGTTTTTGCGGCATCATCTCTTAAAACTCGCTTAGCACCACCAAATCAAATCTGCGAGTCTCATTAACGGCGCGGGAATCAATCTGAGTTAGCAGGAACATGTCTCGAATGACTAAGTGTTGGACATGACGTTGTAAACCTTACAAACAACTGTTCCTACCGGCTTGAGTTTATTCAGAAGATTTTGAAGGACTCTGCCACCCATTTACTGAGGAATTCGATGGCCTAAGTGCGAAATCACGCATACAGAAGAGACATCAGACCTCGGACTATTTCTACTCAGTGGCGTGGCGTGCTATGCGATAAATCGATTGATCTGTCATTTAAAACCCATGGAAAAGGGTCGATAAAGAGGGTCTTCGAGGGTGTCGATAAACGAACAGTATGATAATTGATTTTTCACCATAGCTTCAAATGGAGAAATATCGATAATCGGCCATTCACTCCTCGCCACTGTATTGTATTGATTTTTACTGGTTTGAATGTTTTAATTGTTGATTGAAAATCAGGTCTTTCAGCTGCCTCGCGAACGAGAGCCCACAGTCTCAACCATTGACGCTCACGACCGGATTCGCAGATTAAATTTTATCGATACTCGTCAGCTCACCAAACCGAACTCGATGGGGCATGGTTCAGCGCCCCGTTAAAAATTGCAGACCCTCACACTTTTCCAATCCAAAAACGAGGGGCGATTGAACCATTCTCATTACAGCGTTGCGCACTGAATTCAAAATCTTCAAGATTCTGAAGCTCTTTTATTATTCGGGCGTATTTAAGTGAAAAGGCTCTATGTGAAAATGAACGACATCAAGTGAAGCCACGTTCAGAGAATTTGGGTGCATCATAGTTCCTTTTGAGTTTATTGTTTTTAATTGGTTCTTTTTAGCATGAAAACGTTCACTTCGCCAGAACCACAGGAAAGAAACACTCAGAATCAAACCTCTAAATATGATGATAAGTCTCAGCTTCAAGGGACGACTTTTCTCCTATAACTGGTGAATTGTCCTATTTCGTAGAAAACCGACAAAATCATCGTAAAGTAGGTGAATTTTCATTTTTAACGAGAATCGACATCGCGGGAAATTACACCGTCTACAATGAGCAGATCAAACCCTCGGATATGACGCATAACGATTGATCTGACTCGATATTGCAAACATTGTTGCCACATAACTGAAATAACTTACATTTTCAAGATTAAACCTATTCGACAAGACATTGTGAAACATTGCAAAATGAGTAAAAGGAAGCTAGGTTAAATATTAATCTGCCGAGATATTTTACTTCATTACTGCGACAGCGCAGCCCAGTTTGAGTGCGCCAAGAACGTTAGACACATCAAATAAAATTAGGATGTTGAATAAACATTCTGGGAGTGGAAGAAACGCATGACGACCTGAAATGCTCTGCTCAACTGTTTTTGGAGTTAACTAAACAGCTTTAGAACGAGGAATCAACAGCAGAGACAGTTGCGATGTCAAATGAACATCCGTGACCAGAGGGATGTTAATGTAACATCCTAATTTTGTCGGTTAAATCTCCTCAATGTCGGTTCTTTTATTCCATCTGAAAATGAGCTTTTGGTGGCTAAAAACGACCTGCTTTTTCAGTGTTTTATAATATTTTAACCTTGCTTCACGCATTTATCAATTTTTCATTCTGCAGCACAGTGGAACGAGTTATTGGGAGAGATCGGACATGAAATTTTTTAATAAACTAGCAAATTTTGTTGTTTATTCTGAAAATATCAATTTCAAGGAGTGTTTCTGAAAGAGAGTTTCACGAAACTACCAATGAAACCACCTTTAAACTTCTTCGCAGTAAATTTTATTAGGTATATTCATAGGTATATTCATACGGTAGGTATATTTCATAGGTATATAAGCTCTCAATTTTTCCAAATTTGACCAACGTCTCTAATTGACTTGTTCTTGAGTGCACCTTGTTGATACGTGTTTCCGAACTATGTAATTTGTGTAGTTCGCTTATGGACTGATTTAGTGGGTACGTGGGTACGTCCTTTGATGTAATATTGAACCCTTGGTTCAAATGTAAACAAATACAGAACCTTGTTTCTGATTCGCGCCTGTTCGCCATGTTGGTAAACTGCGTCTAAGTCTCTTACAATCAAAAATTCTCATGTTTAGTGAGTCTTTAATTTATTTATGATCGATCAATGG